ATGTTTATATTACTATTTTTTAATGTATTTATTACTGTTTTGGAGGCTGTGCTTTAAAAATGAAATTGTCTAGAGCTGTTTTTAAACAAAATTTATTTTTGTTTACACTCGTGTATACAAAATGTTGAATAAATTTTGTATTGGCCCCTTGGCCCCCCCTCTAGCTCCGCCCCTGTTTCCTAATAGAAAATTGTCCCGTCGCAGTGAATTTTTTTGACGGTCGTACATAATTTTGACCAACAGGGGGCGGCATTATCCCGGGAATGTAACGCAGAGCTGTCCAATAGGATCATCACCATCTTCGCTGGACCATCTCCTCCTCTGACAGTCACCAGGATACTCCTTCAGGATTTTAACGGTAAGATACAGTTTGTTTGTGCATCGCTTTCTGGGGTAAATGATAAATAGTCTGTGATTTCAGTCTATTCAGTCTCATCTCACCTCAGTAGTATCATAGCAGTTGCACTGTGATGTAAAAGCGTTTGCAGATTGTTGGTGCTGGCGTGCGTTTTTTTTTTTTACGATGCGGGGAGTATAGTGGGACCAGAGTGTTGCTCAGAAATGTGGAACGACAGGTGCGGTATAACACGCTGGGAATCAAACTATATGTTTTGTTTTATATGGAGATGCGTGAGCTGGACGGTCCGTTTCTGCTGCTGCAGAGTCGATGCTTGGTCAGCAGCAAACATGCATCAGTGAGGCTGAGCTACTGAGCTTCAACAAACCCCTTGGTTATCAGATGTTGTTGCAGCAGGGATGCAGATACAGTGATGGACGGAGGTAGTGTCGCAGTCTAGGACTTCCTGTGGGATTGGCTGGTATTCCCAAAGGTATCCTCACTCTAATAATCTAGGATAGGATATATATCCTCTGTTGCAACAAATCACTCATTCTATGTCCAGATATCTCTAGACTGGAATAATTTAAATGAAATTTATCCGAAATAACACTTCTAATTATTATTATTTTTATTTCAACTTAATTAAACAAAATAAATTAGGCTACTAAATCATATTTGGGATCCTTCCAGCAGGGGTGGAGCTAGATGGGGGGCCAGGGGTGGCCCTTAGCCAAACATTGGCCACCCCTACTATTTTCCCCCTCTAATACAGATGGTGGCAGCAGTAAAACTCTCAAGTGGAATTTTCAAAACATTTTATGTTTTCATATATTAACAATTACTTGACAACAAAAACACTGTGGTTAATTATGCACCTTAATATATTAACATTAAAGATGATAAGTACAGAATTCTTGCTCTTTTTAAAGGTAGATTTTGTGTTTTATGGGGTGAAGAGGAAATTATGTGTCTCTGCAGGTCATCTATAGGGCTGGGTATTTTCGTCAAAGTCCTGAATAGATTCGATTTTGATTCATACAGTTCTTAATCGATTCATTTCGATTCGATCTGATTTTACAATAATGAAAGTGGTTCAACTGTGTTTCAAAATACTCATGTATTTATTTTTTTCCTGTCATATTAAACACAAAGTGCAAACTTGTAAATCGGACAGTTTAAACATGAGATGTGAACAAAACTGTCTCAAAAGCGCAAACTTTTTTGTGAAAAGTGAAAAAGTGAAGCCTCACACGAGTGAGCAGACGTGACACAGCGGGGACACAGCAGACATGGATGAGCTGGATTATCTTCACTGCAAAAACCATATTTGCAGCTTTGTCTGTAACAATTAGAGGGTGTGTGCTGGTCAGCACCCCTTTGTTAATGTCTTCAGTCCACCAATTGAATATATTTGCAGTTGTCTGGCTTGAAGTAATCTTGGCAGTCTGTAGCATGAGATGTGAGGAGCCATTCATTATCAATAGAGAGGGGAGTCACCTTAATGTCTCATATCCAGCACATTATCTTTAGCTGTTTTAAATCCAAAATGGCTCCAGACATCAGACTTCAGTTGGGACAGCTTGATGAGCGGTGTGTTACTTGGATCGGCATTTGAATGTGAACCTCACGCGCGTCACTATAAAACTAATCGATCTCATTCCCTACACATCGATTTTGCGAAAATGTAAAGGAATTGATCCAAAATCGATTAAATCGATTTTTTTACCTAGCCCTAGTCATCTAAGAGTCTTCAGTAAAATTATTGATAAGTAACTATTTTTAATAAAACGTATTAAATAATCAATTTATGAAGATGTTAGTACTTGTAAATATTGATTTAATGCAGAATGATTATTGATAAAAGTAGGTAAGTTGTAAGATGTTTGCCCCAGAACTCAAACCTTAAAGAATTGTATCCACTATACCTTTTATCTAGAAAGCACAGATGTTTAAATATTTATGCATCTATTTGTCAGCAAAGGTTGTAGGAAAGTATAGTTTGTCTTTATTTAGAAAATATCGATGTTGTGCCCATTAATTTTCCTGGTGTAGATTGACCCTGAGATTCTGGTGCCTATCCGCTTTCGACCACCCCTCAGTGTACATTGGTCATTGCTTGGCCCCCCTCATAAAAATTTTCCGGCTACGCTTCTGCCTTCCAGCTCCCTTCAAATGCTGGCAGAACTTAAATTCCTGTTAATGTTCTATGGCTTGAGCCATTTCCAAAAGAAGATTGAGGATAGAATTCAGACTTGATCTAGAAATGCAATAAAGATACACCCCCAAAGCTGGGCTTCTGTTATTTAACTGAATTAGATATTATAAACCTGGAGTGGTGGACTTCAGAAGGCTGTTGTCCAGTAAAAAAACACCATCTTACATATTAGGCATCAATAGTTTTGTTTTGGCAATTGTTCCTACTGAAAACCTAAAAACATCATTTTAAGGGCATTTTATGGGAGCTCAGGGAGGGAGGATTTCAGTTTTCCTAAGCATTGGGCCGTGCCGGGATCTGGCTAATGTAACTGATGGGGTGGTAATTTTCCACATATAAGAGCCCGTCTAAATCCTAACGTGAGACTGCATAATAAAGAAGCATTATTGCAGTGCCTTTCTCTCATCACCCCTTAATATCATTAAATGAAAAGACAAATCCCGCCACCTACACCCCATGCCCTGAGATTTTACATCATACATCAAAACAGTAGTTGATATTTGGCCAATTTGACCTTTGAATATTGAAAGTATTCTATTTATTGATGCAAGAATGCATGTAGTTTCTTTTCAGGTGATGTAAATACAATAAATTTGTTTATTTTATCCTATTACACTCTTTTAACGAAAACCACTTTTCATGCACTGTGCAATCCTCTTGGCCTTTATTAAAGCAGGCTTTTTCCCAGGAGGGATGGAGCCCTCACAACATAGAAGGTAGGTGGGGTTGAGGTTTTAAAGCCCCCCCAAAAAAGCAGACAAACAAACAAAAAAAGCAAAAAAAACACGCCCCATGCTCATGCTCCATCTCTGTCACGGTGAGACGGGGAAATGAAGAGATGTTGACTGACAGGCAATGGTGCACTCCAAGAATGAAGAGCATGTCATCCCTCAAAGTGAATCCCTTCTTACAGCTGCAGAGTTGTCTGCAGCAGATGAACATGCTTTAACAAAAAACAAAAAGGTGTTCGCATCTCATTATCTGGTTGCATCTGAAACGAACAAATGAAAGGGTTTGTGTTTGAGAATTGCTCTCCTTCTTTGACCTGCAGGATTTCCTTTACTTCAAGGTGGGAAACAGCTGGTTTAATCACATATTTGCAGCCATTTCATAGAAACACACACAGTAAGCCCTTCCTTTTGTGTTTTTTTGCTTTTCTACTGAAAGAAACCCTAGTCGACAACATGCTCAGCCAAAGAGAAAGATTTAATCTATTTTTAACATATGCTAACAGAAATCATAGCTTCATTTCTGCATACATAAGATCTTCAAACAGAAAAGATTTGTTCAAAATTATTTCAAATCTTTTTTTTCTTACCCTAATCCATTATATTTCTATAAAAACTCTACTTAAATACAATCTAACTGGTTTAGAAGTAAATTGTAAGGGGAAAAAAAGCAGCAACATGGTTAATATTCAGTTATGAAATAATAATTTGCTGAAGTTGCTTCTGATTGCATTTTAATATTTTGTTTCAGGACACTCACCTATTTCAAAACCTAATATTTTTACCCGGATTCACTGTGCTTAGAAAAAACAAACAAACAAAAAAAAAAAACAATAAAAAAACCTAATTTGAAATCCCTCTTCATCCCTCTTTCTGTCCAATACCCAAACCTTTGGGCCAAATTGAACTGTTTTTTAATCATTTAAACAAAATTATATAATATTTACAGTACATATTACAAAAACAAACAAAAAAATCCAACTGGATAAAAGTAACACCAGATAATGATGCTGCCAACACCATGTTTTACTGTGAGTGTGATGTGCTTCTGGTTATATGCGTAGTTGCTTTTATTTAAAACCTGTCTTTCTAAATTTTGGCTTAACATTAAACTTAATCTACATAGAATCATAATGCCTTCTCCAAAAAACAAGTTTCAGAAGATTTCCAGATAGATTTTTTTTTTTTGAACAAAATGCTTCTTTCTATTGACTTAGATTTAGCACATGCAGTACATGAAACACATTCCTGCACCTCTTTCTTTCTCTCTGTTTGTGCGTCTGTGATCGTTTTTCCTACCTATTTTTCTGACTGATACCTTTATAAAGTTAGATCAATTTCCTTGGTAATATCTCTTCAAACTAAACAAACACTAATATTCTAATAACATCTTATATCACCTAATAACCCTCAGAACCCTTTTTGTTGATGGCAAAGAAGAGCAATAAGAGTGAGTGTTCATTCAAACAGGTTATTGCAGTTTTTTAAAGATGTATTTTTCATTTCTACATATTTGTTTGTTAAATCATTAAAGGAAAAAGTATTGTTGAAACTTTTGATTAAAAAAAAAAAAACTTATGATCAGCTTTGTTGCTACAAAAAGGAATTCTCCATGTCTGCATACTTTAGAGCAGGCTCCCTGTTTGATGCATGCTGAGGAGGTGGGTGTTTCCATCCCGGCCACTCTGATGTTGGGAAGAATAGCTCTTGCATCCTACTCAGTCTGCTCTCTACTCTCCCAGCTCTCCTGTTTCTTGCAGACTGCCTGCCTTCCAGCGTAGTGCTGTCCTTTCACTCACTACTATTCATTACCATCTAGTGTGCATTTTCTTAAACCTACAAAGGTGGACAAAAAGCGCTGGCACAGAGCACTGAAGCACGTTTTGTGCTTGGTTGAAAGAAGCATTCACATACATCTAAACTATTCTGGAAAGACTGAAGCTACGACTAAATTGCAGTTTTGTTACGGACAGGACACTGACCTTTGAGGTAAGAGGAATGCACTCTGAGCAGTTATCTGTAATGTTTTCTGTGTTGGTTTTGTTTGGGTCATATTTGCTGCCATGGCTGCTTTGCTAGCTTTTTTCTCACCAAGTTTTGGATTATTTAATGCATATTTCTATATAGATTTAATGTTCTCTCCTACGACACATTTTCCGATGTAAAGAAGTCCTTTCTGTCCTGTCTTTTAAAGTCATAATTTGACTCTGCACATGTAGTTAGAGTTGCAATAGACCAAAAAGAAAGGATTTAGGGGATGATTTGTTGTTCAGAACAATCGTATGTGCAGCTCCTGCTGATGGTTTCTGTGACCACTCAGTGGGGATGTCTTTGCTGGGTTTGCTCTCCCTCTCTCTGTGTCTAACCCCTCCTTGCCTCTCCTCTCTCCTGTGCCTGCATGTATTCACAGTTAGTCTCAGTCACCGCTCTGCTTGTTTGCCACAGACCAGTGGCTCCAGTTGGTTGGCAGACTGTGGTTACACATTAAATGTTGGGGTGTTCCATAGGTGCCATATTGTCCATTTGTCTTAAACAAGAGTAACATACAAGACATGCGAAATGGGGCTGACCCAGATGGTTGGACGTCCGGCTCCCTGAGTTTATTTATGTTTGTGTCAGTGTGTTTTTCTCGGAGGTGCAGAGAGGTGAGTCATACAGACTCTCACTGGTGGCTGCCACTGGCAGTCAGTGTAACCATGTCATGATGTGTGATTTGCAAATCGACAGTGTCTGATAAAGCAGAAACACAAACCTTCTAGGAAATGAAAACAGGCTTTCTTGAAAGGCTTATTCCCACTGATTTGTTTACAAAAGTGCAATGTGAGGTCAAGGTCTTTGACACGGGTGAACTGGATATTAATCATAGCAAAGCTTTAAACAATTGTACTTTCTCTTATATGATTTGATTTATATACCTAAAAAATGTTCTACTTGGTGCAAATAGTATTGTGATTTCAGCCATGTAGCTCAAGTAAGGCATAAAGAATGATGGATTGCAGTAAGTTTGGCAATGATAACCTTTGGCCAACATAAAACAGATCTGATGTCCTCCACATCATATCTCAGTTGAACTTGAATCCCTTCAGGGCAAAGTTATGCTGTAAAAATCCCAGTAGATTTCTTAGCAAGGTTTTTAACTCATCTTACATTTGGTTGCAGCAATTAAGTCAGATAAGAAACTCTGACTGCCAAGTTTTATTGGAAACGTGAAAATCTGGCACAGAATACTGGAAAACATGTCTGTGTTAATGATGTTTTGACTGTTTAATCTGTATTTTCATCTGTGCAACATTTCACACAGAGTGATGGCATTTTTAGGCTAAGAGCTGATTAACAGGAAGTGTTTTTGCAGTAAAAAAAGACTGCATAAATGTGGATACCCCTGGAATAGTACTTTTTCTGCAGATTTTGATCCAGTGGAAACATTCAGTGTTGTTTGGTTGAAATCCAATGGAAACAATATTATGTTTTAGCATTTACGGACTATGAATGTGATCAAAGTTCCCACAGCCTTATTGAGGTTATCTGACAAAATTTCTGTTATATTTTCAGTTGGACATGGTTGCAACATCCTAACTATGATGCTTATAAACTGAATGCCTTTTAAACTTCAGCACTTGCATAGATCCTTTGTTCTCAAAAGCTATATGATCTTTTCAAAATTGTACGAACTTTGAAAAGAAGCCATCTTTTCTATTTGAAGATAGGCAATTTAACAGCATGATTCCACCAATACCATGCTTATGTATAGGTTATTTGTTTAATGTATTCTTTTGCTTCTGTTTAAAAAAAAATACCTTTGGATTGCTGGTCCAGGATTTCTTGTTTGGTTTCATCAGACCATGAAATGTTCCCCGAAATGTTGGAGAATTCAGACACCTTCATTTTTTCCAACCCTTCCCCTTAATCAAGACAGAGAATCTGTAAAATTTTGTAAGATGATAAAATGAAGATCCTACAGCTCCTTTAAGGTATAACTGAGGATTTTCACAAATTTTTGAAAAGACCTGCCCTCTCCAACAAATGCACATTCACAATCCTGTACCCGCTCAGAAGGAATGCTTATTAAACGTGTGCAAGAGAATGCACAAGCCCATTTCTCCTTGTGCACGTTCTGTTTAAAAGAAGAATTTTCCACTATGTCAGACCCACCACCAGTAGGTGAAAATGGGGATGAGCACATAAGAAAGCCTTACGTAAACATATCACCAGGATGATTGAAAATTAGGAGGACCACTTATTTTGATGATCAACCCGGAAAAAGACCATCCTCCTCTATACCTTTAAGTGCAGCCGTTACAGCAATCTTTTCCTGACTTCTTCCCGTTATGTCTTCTCATTAATTTTAGAGAGAAAATCCAGTTTTTGCATGAACTTTTGTCCCATTTTTTTCCCTCTTCTTGATAACAGCCTTTTATCCTGCCATGGTTTAATATTCGAGTCTGTATTTTATTTAACATGTTTTGTCCTGCTCCTTACCGTGCTGTAAGATCTTTCTGATCTTCTGTAACCTGTCTGCCAGGAGTGGCTTTGACTAAACATGATGTTTACCAGATTAAAAGTAGCATCCTGGACTTCTACCATTATAAACTACCTTTTTAACCCCTCAAAAATTTGTAGGATAACTAAATTACATGAATGATAAATGATGCCATTATGATTGTTCTCTGGAAACTAGGCCATTAAAGACCAACGCCATAGGTATATCCCTACTATAGAAAAGGCTTAACGGCTTAATCTGATGGAAAGTGTTTTGAAGCGCTTGAGCAGACGAGCATGCTCAGGCAAACACATTCTCAGAATCTGTACGATCTCCAGTGAGCATTTTAGAATGGCTGTTTCTGTGCAGAACGCTTAACAACTGGCCCGCAGAGCTTTACAGCCCTTAACTCTCCCACTGCGTGCAGTTTTTTTTCTTTTTAGTGTGGTTTTGTGACTTTCAAAATAGTAATTATTCCAGCCTGACTTGCTAAAAAAAGACCCCAGCAAAAAACAAAGGAAAAAATGTAAATGCAAAGTATTGTGTACATCTGCTGTGTCAAGTGCTTCAAGTCAAGGGTTGAGATGGCAAAAAAAAAATGCCAGATGAGTGTTTGAAGTTGGTCTGTGCCAATGGATGCCAGGCTGTGCTCTGTGTTCGTCTGGCTGGATTCCCAGTACTCCCCATGTGCTTCATATCCCACAGACTTCCACGTCCACTCACTTCTCCTAAGGCTCCACTGAACCTGTAAATTCCTCTTTTAGCCCACACAGCCAGAGTGTGTTTATCTGCAAATGTCTGCTAAATTGATTGCCCTGAGGGATAAATTAAGTTGATGTCTTGCTAAAAAAAAAAGAAAACAGAAGAAAATAGAGCGAGAAGCAGCGTGTTTGCTTTTGTGTGCTTTTCTGTTAAGGACTTATAATTCATTTTAAAGAATCTATTAGACAAATGCATATGTTTTCAACATGTAAGCTTGCTTAAAGTCGTTTTTCTTAATTGTTTTATCTTCATGCTTTTCACGGTTTCAAAAAGATGCACTTTCATCAAACAAGTGGCATAGTCATGAGATAAGAAGCTTTAAGGCTTCTTAGCTCAGCAGTGGGAGGGACGGGAATCCCTAAACTCTCTGTACATGTCAGTCAAATAAGCCAAAAAACCCTCGCTGAGAATACACACAGAACCATAAGAGCCAGGAGTCGGAGCATACACACACAGCAGCTGAGAGAACGCCTGGGGAAGGCACTACTAATCTCATTCTCTGCTGACACATAGTGATCATCTATGCATGCTTTCGCAGCTCTTTCTCTTACAATGCTGATATTCCAAACCTCGAGGTGTGTTTGCTCCTATCAGTGTCAGCAGATCAGAAAACTACAGCTTTCCACTACCTGTAACACTGATCCTAACTAGTTGATGTTGCACAGCCGGTCCTATGTGGCTCTTTAGAAGCAAGGGAGAAATTAAATCACTGAGCATTAACTTAAAACTGAAAAACATCTATATGACACTCCAAGTAGTAGGTTGCATGTGGTTGATCCAAAGTCATTCTTTACCTTGACAGATTCATTCCGTTTATTTATTGATTTTAGATTGAGATTTAAACAGTTTTAATTAGAAAAAGAATTTTCTTCAGAAACTAATTTCTCCAACCAATAATAAACCATTGTTAAGGATAGTTAGTTTAAAAAAATACACATTAGTTTTAGTAGCAGTAGTGTAATTTGGTCATTTTAGTAGTATTCTTTTTGCCAGTTTACATTTTATTAAAAAATGGCATGCTTATTTATACCCCTCACAATAATCCTGACTCACAAGCTCCTGATTGGTCATCTGTCTTTTCTTGTGTGACTGGCTGTCACCGCTGTCACTCCTGAGAATCTCATTTTACAAACATCTGATGCACCACTGTATCGGGTCTGTGAAAGGTCTTGTAGAAAAAGGTGGGTCTGCAAAAGAGTTGGTGAGGGAGTCTGCTACTGTAAATTAGGCATTTTTTCGTCTCTTGGGTCAAGTAATCTAGAACGGTTGTAATATCAGGTGTAGGAATCTTTCAATTGGTGCCATGTGCGTGCGTGTGTTTGCGTGTTTGGTTATTAGACTCACAGTCAGGATGTCTGAAAAAAGTAAGAGAGAGATAAAAGACTCCTTTAAACATTAAAGTGTAAACTACATTAAAATAATTGTGCAACACCCCTCCTAAAATACCTTAATTGGCTCCATAAGGCAGCATATCCACTTCAAGATCCTCCACGGGATTTTAAAGCTTTCAATAACCTTGTAAAGTATATTTGTTTTATTAAAAGTGCTGATAAATCAAATGTGTTATCGTTACATAACCTAAGGGAAGCATCCAGGGGGCATCCGATAAAGATGCCACCTCAACTGACTCCTTTCGATGTGGAGGAGAAGTGACTCTACTCTGAGCCTCTCTTGGATGAGGGGAGTTTCTTCCCCTATCTAAGGGAGTGCCCACCCACCCTACATAGAAAGCTCATTTCAGTTGCTT